CTCTCTCTCTCTCTCTCTCTCTCTCTCTCTCTCTCTCTCTCTCTCTCTCGAATTGTCACGTTCGCATTATCGCAATTTGAACGGGAACGACTCCTTCATCAAGGGATAATGATTTGAACAAAATTTCGCAGTATTATTGGTTTTATCGCTATTGGCGTGTTACGCGAAGTACACGATTATTGTGGCATACGTATCATGTATGTTATATAAATCTTTAAGGTATTTATTGAAGTTAACTGTGATTGAGACCTACGTAATTTTTTCGTCGTGTTATCAAGATTTCGAAGTATAAAGATACGCTTTACATAAATAAAATTTCAAAGGTTAAAAATATTGAGTATAGTAATATTTACTAATTACTTGTCTGTATCTTAAATTCATGAAAGAGTAGATACTATTGAAATGATATACGAACGATGATCAAATAAGTAGTATATCCATGCATAAGTAGTGCCGTGTGTTCATCTTTCGTTGGAAACGCATCATAAAGAAGATTCCCTGTGTTATCGATTGAGCCTGATACACGTACCGCGTGGATAAACTATACAAAACTAAGAATTTAGTATGCGTGTGCCCATAGCAACGCAGCTAATTAGGTTCTAACAGAAGCATTTTTTCAACGAACAGTACTTTATCCGTACTTTATCATGGTCGAGACTGAGACAAACGTGGTACGTAACGCGAAAACCGGACAGAAATCATTGCTCGAAAGATATGATATACCGGTCGAGCATCTTTCGTACGAATACATTTCTGAATGTACAAACGCAAAAAAGTTGGAGCGCATAGTAACTATTCTGCGGTAAGTAGAAGTTATAAATCGGCGGGGTTTTCAAAAACTACATCTTACCGAATCCCTGTCTGTATGCTTGGTTTCTAATATCGTTAGTCTTTAATACATGATTCGTTAATATAATATTACGCAACATTTTTAACATTTTGTACATTCCATTGACAGTTCCGGTGAGGAAGGATATTATCCAGATTTAACAAAGCATGCAGAGAACCGCTTGAGTGTTGTTAAGCCAACTAGTGTAATCTTAAGAAAATCCGAGCCCATTCTCAAGCGTAACATGTTAAAATCAAACGAATGTAAGGAAATCGATAAAGATATCAACGATTGGATGTCTGAAATGCAAATTCGAGAAAAAGACCTGGAGGAAGGGAGAGCTGCGATACTAGACTCTCTCGTCACGCCGGATATTCGGCAATTTAAAGAAGAATCTGTAAAAGTATAGCCTTCTCGTTATATTATTTTAGTAATTATGTAAGGATCAAGGCGTATAATTTCACTAAAAAAAATTTCCTATTCTGTCTCTTCGATTCAATTAGAAAAATTCAACAACAAACTCGAAAAATGGTAAAAACAAACGGATTCGTTCATGTGATTACGCTGCTTGGGATAAATATGACGTTGACACTGAATTAGACAGAATAGATATACAAGATGAACAACAGAAGGCCGAAGCAAGAAGATTGCAACAGAATCAGAAAGAAATTGTTCAGAGAAAGAAATTGGAGAAACATGCAATTATTAATAAATGTATGTTCACGAAATTACACTTTTATGTTGAATTGCATTTATGGATTACATTTTTGTGTAAAATAAGCATCGAATTATTTAAGACAATTTATGAAAAGAATAAAAAGTGAAAATGTGGTATTATCAGCGGCATTGACAGGAACTGAATTGGACGTGATGGCAGAACAGGAAAGGGAAAAAGGAAACGAGGCTTTCAGGGCTGGAGATTACGAAGAAGCGTTGGAACATTACAACAGTAGCATAAAAATGAATTCAAATATAACTACGTACAACAATCGTGCGATGACGTGTAAGAAAATTATTTTCACTTATCTTGTTAAAAAAAAAAAAAAAAAAAAAAAAAAAAAAGAACTCGGTCAATTATATTCTTCTTTCAGACATTAAACTTCAACGTTACGAGGATGCTCTTAATGATTGTAACATGGTACTCAGCGTAGAATATACGAATATGAAAGCACTTCTTCGTCGAGCTGTAAGTTTAGACCACCTTGGAAAATCATCTCAGGTATTTCAATATAGATATATGTATCTGTACATTTTTTTCTCTGAATATAAAAGCTTTTATTAAATAAAAATACATATAATTATTAGGCATTGGTAGATTACGAAGCTGCTTTGAAAGTAGAACCAAATAACGCAATGGCGATTGCCGGAGTAAAAA